ACAGAAAACACTTCATTCCTTACATTCATAAGGTTTCTCTCCATTGTAACTCTGAACATGAATATTAAAGACTATGGAATACCTAAAGGTTTTCTCACATTCTTCACTGCATTATTTTGCTAGAGTTGACCAAAAAAAATGAACCCCACACATTGGATGGCTTAAACAACAGAAATTTATTTGCTTATAATTTTGGAGGCTGGAAGTCCAGGATCGAAGTGTAGATAAGGATGATTTCCTCTATAATGAGCCTTAAAAGAAGCATTTCCTCCAGGAATCTCTCCTTGCCTTGCAGGTAACCATTTCTGGTCACCTCACATAAACATCTGTTCCTGCTACCCCAGTATCTCTTTCACTTCTTATAAGGAAACCAGTCATATTGAATGAGGGCCCCATTCTAACTGCCTCATTTTAAAATCACCTCTCTAAAAAACCACATCTCCAAATACCACCACATCTCCAAATACCATCCCTTGAGGTCCTAGGGATGAAAGCCTTAATCTGTTAATGGGTGGATGGGACATGGGACATAATCCAGAACAGTGGTACCCTAACTTTTTGGCACCAGGGACCAGTTTTGTGGAAGACATTTTTCCCACGGACTAGAGTTGGGGATTAACCTGTTCCAGTTCAGATCATCAGGCATTAGATTCTCATAAGGAGTGCGCAACCTAGATCCCCTGCATGTGCAGTTCACAATAGAGTTCATGCTCCTATGAGAATCTAATGTCGCTGCTGATCTGAAGAAAGTGGAGCTCAGGCAGTAATATTTGCTCATCCTACATTCACCTCCTGCTGTGCGGCCTGGATCCTAATAGGCCATAGACCAGTACCAGTCCATGGCCCAGGGGTCTGGGGACCCCTGATCTAGGCCATTCCACTTATTATATTCATCAAGTTCTTCTCCAGCATACAATGGTGTATGATTAAAGCTTGTGGAACATAAAAAGGTTTTGCCACACTTCTTGAATTCATAGTTTCTCTTCAGTTTGTGTTCTAAAATGTTTATCAAGGACTGAGTAGCAGGCAAAGGCTTTCCCACATTCCTTACATCAATACGGCTTCTCTCCACTGAGAATCCTGACATATACCTTGATATGCTTGAGGAATAAGTGAAGATTTTCCACATTCCTTATAAACATAGGTTTTCTCCTAGTGAGAGTTTTGTGGTATCTGTCCTAAGGAGTAAATGAAGCCTTTCCCATATTTTCCATATACGCAGGGTTTCCTGCCACTGTGAATTCTTTTTTTTTTTTTGAGACGGAGTCTCGCTCTGTCGCCCAGGCTGGAGTGCTGTGGCCGGATCTCAGCTCACTGCAAGCTCCGCCTCCCTGGTTCCCGCCATTCTCCTGCCTCAGCCTCCCGAGTAGCTGGGACTACAGGCGCCCGCCACCTCGCCCGGCTAGTTTTTTGTATTTTTTAGTGGAGACGGGGTTTCACCGTGTTAGCCAGGATGGTCTCGATCTCCTGACCTCGTGATCCGCCCGTCTCGGCCTCCCAAAGTGCTGGGATTACAGGCTTGAGCCACCGCGCCCGGCCGCCACTGTGAATTCTTACAAGTTCATTGTGACGTGAGATAATAAAGAAGTGGTTCCAGATTCCCAACTCTCATAGCATTTTTCTACAATGTGACTTTGTTCACATCTTTCAGGTAAATGGGAACAACAGAGAGCTTTCCCACAATCCTAACATTGATAAGCTTTCTCTCCAGTGTGAGTTCTTTAATGATATGGAAAGGGACTTTAAGAATTGAAGAATTGGCTGGGTGTGGTGACTCATGCCTGTAATCTCAGCACTTTGGGAGGTCAAACCGGGTGGATCACTGGAGGTCAGGAGTTCGAGACAAGCCTGACCAACATGGAGAATCCCTGCCTCTTCTAAAAATACAAAATTAGCCAGGCGTGGTGGTACATGACTGTAATCCCAGCTACTTGGAAGGCTGAGGCAGAAGAATCACTTGAACCCTGGGGGGCGGAGGTTGTGGTGAGTTAAGATTGATTGAGCCACTGCACTCCAGCCTGGGCAACAAGAGCAAAACTCCATCTCAAAAAAAAAAAAAATTTCAAGAATTTATCATACTACTTACATTCACAGGATTTATTTACAGTGAGTTCACATACTTGAAATGAATTTAAATAACTGTAGGTTTTTCAACATCGCTTTACATTTTTAGGGTTTTTCTCCAGTGAGTTTTTATGTGGATATTAAAAAGGAAAGATTATACGGCCGGGCGCGGTGGCTCAAGCCTGTAATCCCAGCACTTTGGGAGGCCGAGACGGGCGGATCACGAGGTCAGGAGATCGATACCATCCTGGCTAACACGGTGAAACCCCGTCTCTACTAAAAAATACAAAAAAAAAACCTAGCCGGGCGAGGTGGCGGGCGCCTGTAGTCCCAGCTACTCCGGAGGCTGAGGCAGGAGAATGGCGTAAACCCGGGAGGCGGAGCTTGCAGTGAGCTGAGATCCGGCCACTGCACTCCAGCCCGGGCTACAGAGCAGCAAGACTCAGTCTCAAAAAAAAAAAAAAAAAAGAGAGATTATACAAATCCTTCCCAACATTCTTCCTTCTATATTGAAGGGCATCTCTCCGGAGTAAAAAAAAAAAAAAAAAAAAAAAAAAAAAAAAGATTATACAAATCCTTTCCAACATTTCTTATGCTGAAAGGGCATCTCTCCGGAGTAAATTCTCACACATTCAATAAGGTTTGAGTAACTAACTAGTGATGGCTTCTCAATATTCCTCACATTCATAGGGTTCTGTTCACCATGAGTTCATGTTCAAGAAGGGCTGAGCATCGATTTTTTTTTTTTTTTTTTTGAGACAGAGTCTCACACTGTCACCCAGCCTGGAGTGCAGTGACGAGGTCTCAGCTCACTGCAAGCTCCACCTCCCGGGTTCACGTCATTCTCCTGCCTCAGCCTCCTGAGTAGCTGGGACTACAGGTGCCCACCACCATGCCCAGCTAATTTTTTTTGTAATTTTAGTAGAGACGGTGTTTCACCGTGTTGGCCAGGATGGTCTCAATCTCCTGACCTTGTGATCCACCTGCCTCAGCCTCCCAAAGTGCTGGGATTACAGGTATGAGCCACCATGCCCGGCCTTTTTTTTCTTTTTTTGAGAGTGTCTCACTGTTGCCCAGGCTGGAGTGCAGTGTCACAATCTCAGCTCACTGCAACCTCCACCTCCTGGATTCCAGCGATTCAGTCTGGTCACGAACTCCCAACCTCAGGTGATCCGCCTGCCTTGGCCTCCCAAAATGCTGGGATTACAGGCATTAGCCACCGCACCCAGAATTTTAGTCAGAGCTTCAGTGACCTGCAGGAAGGGAAATATCCAACTCCAGCCAACTCTATACATCCTGACCCAACTAAAGGGTGGGAAAAACTATGAAGTTCACAGTGCAGAGGCACAGACTCACTAAAAGAGTGACATCTATCCCTGGACAATAGAACACTGCCCCTCTCCCCACAGCTTACCACCATTACTAGAGGCCTGCTTACAGCAGTTCCTCTTATCCAGTATGCCATGTCCAGCTAAGGAAAAATTACAAGCATACTAAAAGGCAAAAGTTAGTTTAAAGAGAAAGAGTAAGAACCAGAACCAGACATAGCAGGATTGCTGAAATTATCAGACTGGGAATTTAAAACAATTATGATTGATATGCCCTGGGTTCTACTGGATAAAGCAGACAGCATCCAAGAACAGACAGGCAGTGTAAATACAGAATGGAAATTCTAAGAACCGCAAAGAATTGCTAGAGATTGAAGACAGCAACAGAAATGAAGAATGTCTTTGGTAGGCTTATTATTGGCCAGAAAACAGTCAACTAAAGAGCTTGAGAATATATCAGTAGAAACATCCACAACTGAAAAGCAAAGAGAAGAAAGAATAAAAAAACAAGATATAAGAACTGTGGGATACCTAGAAAAGTTGTATCCTACATATAAAGGAAATATCAGATGGAAAGAAAAAAAAGGGAAAGAAACATTTGAAACAATAATGACAGAATTTCTCAAAATTAACTGACGCCAAAACACAAATCCAGGAGGCTAAGCAAACACCAAGCAGGACAAGCACCGAAAACCTGTACCTAGGCATATCATTTAAAAATAACAGAATATCAAAGATAACAAAAATTTTCTTAGAAGCCTGAGGGGGAAAATGCTTTAAGTTTTGAGGATCAAGTATAAGAATGACATCCAACTTTGAGCATAGAAGTAAAATAAAAATGTTTATTTTTCTAATTCTTAATTGATCTAACAGGTAACTTCTGAAAAACAGCTACAATGTATTAGATTACATATGCTAATTTTGTGTGTGTGTATATGCATATAAGTGAAATACAGTAATGAAGGAAGGTCTGAGAGGAAGGATTTAGGATTATTTTGATAGTATAAGGTACTAACACTACTCAAGAAACAGTACAGTATTATGAGAATTCAGGTAAATATTATGGCATGTGAAATATTTAAAGGATATACCACATTCCTTACCTTCCCAGGGTTTTGAGGTAATTTTCGATGTGTAAAAAAAAATTTCTGTGGAATTAATGTAAGGCTTCCTACATGCATTACAGGTAGAAGGCTTCTCTCCAGTTTGACTTCTTACACCTTCTAGAAGGTAGAAAACATTAACGTAAGCTTTTCCACAATCCTAATGGGGTTTCGGTCCACTCCAAGTTCCAATATGGTGTATTGGGTCACATTCCTTACTTTCACAGTAAAAGAAACTTTCTTTCCTTTTTTCCCCTCTATTTTCATACAGTCTATATCCAGACAACTTGCATGTGAATATTAAAATACAGTGAACATTCACAGGCTTTTTCATGTGCCTTACATTCATACAATTTCTCTCCTACGTAATTCCGCCTGTATGTAGAAAGGACTGAAGACTCAATGAAGGGTTTCCCATGTCTTACATTCATATAATTTCTCTCCTATGTAATTCCTCCTGTATGTACGCCTTGTATGTAGAAAGGACTGAAGACTCAACGAAGGGGTTTCCCATGTCTTACATTCATATAATTTCTCTCCTATGTAATTCCTCCTGTATGTAGAAAGGACTGAAGACTCAATGAAGGGTTTCCCATGTCTTACATTCATATAATTTCTCTCCTATGTAATTCCTCCTGTATGTACAAAGGACTGAAGACTGAATGAAGGCTTTCCCATGTCTTACATTCATATAGTTTCTCTCCAGCATGGCTTTGCATGTGAATATTAAGGCTTTTGGACAATCTATAAACGTTTTTGCTTATTGCTTACTGTATTCACTTGCTAGAGCCGCCACAACAAAACACCACAGACTGGGTGGCTCACACAAGAGAAGTTTATTTGTTCAAAGTTCTGGAAGCCCAAGATGAAGGTGCCAGCAGGGTTGGTGGCCTTGACAGAAGGATCTGTCCTGGCCCTCTGGCTTGCAGATGGCTATCATCTGATGACTTCACATCATCTTCTCTATTTGTCATCCCAGTTGTGTCTTTCTCTTCTTATAGGGACACCAGTCATATTGGATTAGGGATGTACCCTAACAGACTCAATTTAATCAAATAAATTTTTTTTTTTTTGAGACAGAGTCTCGTCGCCCAGGCTGGAGTGCAGTGGCACGATCTCTGCTCACTGCAACCTCTGCTTCCTGGGTTCAAGCGATTCTCTTGCCTCAGCCTCCCAAGTAACTGGGATTACAGGCACCCACCACGCCTGGCTAAATTTTTTATATTTTTAGTAGAGCCAGGGTTTCGCCAGGTTGGACTCAAACTCCTGACCTCAAGTGATCCGCCCACCTCAGCCTCCCAAAGTGCTGGCATTACAGGAATTAAATAATTTTCGTAGACTTTCTTCTCTCCAGAGCTCATTCATTCATGTCTTTGAAGTGAACTGGAACAAATGAGAGCTTTCCCACATGTATTACATGGACAGAGTTTCTCACTAGTGAATTTGTTCATGTCTTCGAAGTGAACGGGGATGACTGTAAGCTTTCCCGCACTGCTGACATTTATAGGGTTTCTCTTCTGTGTGAGTTTTTTCATGAATTCTAAAGGAACTGGAACACGTGAAGGCTTTCCCACACTCCTTACATTCATAGGGTTTCTCTCCGGTGTGAGTCCTTCCATGTATTTGAAATGAACTGGAATGGCTGAAGGCCTTTCCACACTGTTTACACTCGTAGGGTTTTTCTCCAGTGTGGATTCTCATGTGAATTTTAAGGTGGGTGGAATAGTTAAAAGCCTTCCCACATTCCTTACAGGTGTATGGTTTCTGGGCACTGTGCGTTCGCATGTGATTATTAAGACATGAGGGATATCCAAATACCTTCCCGCATATCTTACACTCACAGGCCTTCTCTTCAGTGTGAGTTCTCAAATGTCCACTAAGATTTGAGGAAACTGCAAAGGCTTTCCCACATTCAACACATACAAAAGGTTTCTCTCCAGTGTGAGTTCTTATATGTTGAATAAGGCGTGAAGATGTAAGGAAAGATTTCCCACATTCCTTACATTCGTAGGGCTTGTCTCCACTGTGAGATCGTACATGCATACTAAGGCCCGAGTACTGAGTGAAGGCTTTCCCACATTCCTTACATACATAGGGTTTCTCTCCAGTGTGAGTTCTTCCATGTATCTGAAATGAATTGGAATAATTGAAGGCTTTCCCACATTCCTTACATTCATATGGTTTCTCCCCAGTGTGGGTTCGCATGTGAATACTGAGGTAGGCTGGGTACCTATAGCCTTTTCCACATTCCTTACATTTGTAGGGCTTTTTTGCATTGAGGGTTTCTATAAGCACAGAAAGGCTTGTGGAGTCAATAAAACCTGGCCCATAATCCCTCCATTCATAGAGTTTTTCTCCATTGTGAGTTCTCATATGTGCCTGAAGGTATGACTCCTTAATGAAGGATTTTCCACAGCGACTACATCCAAATGACTTTTCTTGTGCGCTAGTTCTCTGGTATACCGTATTTGGTGTCAGGCTGAAGATTTTTTCACTCTGATTAAACTTCTCACCAGTAGAGGTTTTCTCATGCAGAGTAAGGAAATCTTTTCCATACTGATTACAGTCATGAGTGTTCCCTGTACTTTGAGTTCTCATGTGCGTCTTAAGGCATGCGTGTTCACTGAAGACTTCTCCACATTGCTCACAGTCACAGAGTTCCCCTCCATTGTGTTTTCCTTCCTGTTGAAGGGATGATGATGATTTAAGGATTTTTCTCAAACATATTAACAGATATACCCATCTGAAGCTACAAACATTATAATGGTGATTATAATTGATGTCATTTTTATTACTCGCATTCAGGTCCTGCCCTGTAGATTTATTTTAAGTGGTACGACTTAACTCTTATTCTAGAATGTTGTGCCATCTACTTTAATCTTGGCTAGGTGTGGTGGCTCACGCCTGTAATCCCAGCACTCCAGGAGCCCAAGTCGGGGCAGATCACCTGAGGTCAGGAGTTCAGGACCAGTTTGGCCAACATGGTGAAACCCTGTCTCTACTAAAAACACAAAAATTAGCTGGGCTTGGTGGCACATGCCTGTAATCCCAGCTACTTGGGAGGCTGAGCACAACAATTGCTTGAACCTGGGAGGCGGAGGTTGCAGTGAGCCAAGATCGTGCCACTGCACTCCAGCCTGGGCAACAAAGCGAGACGCCATCTCAAGATAATAATAATAAAAACATATTTCTGTAGAATTACAAGAAATTGTTTTTGAAATTCAGTGTCTAGATGGGTGCAGTAGCTCACATTTGTAATCTCAGCATTTTGGGAGGCAAAGGTGGGTGGATTGTTTGAACCCAGGAGTTAGAGACCAGCCTGGGCAACATGGCAAAACTCCATCTCTACAAAAAATAATCAAAAAATTAGCTGGGTTGGGCGCAGTGGCTCACGCCTGTAATCCCAGCACTTTGGGAGGCCGAGGCGAGCGGATCACAAGGTCAGGAGATTGAGACCATCCTGGCTAACACAGCGAAACCCCATCTCTACTAAAAATACAAAGAAATTAGCCAGGCGTGGTGGCGGGCACCTGTAGTCCCAGCTACTCGGGAGGCTAAGGCAGGAGAATGGCATGAACTCAGGAGGCAAGTTTGCAGTGAGCCGAGATCGTGCCACTGTACTCCAGCCTGGGTGACAGAGCAAGACTCCATCTCAAAAAAAAAAAATTAGCTGAGCATGGTGGTGCATTCCTGTAGTCCCAACCACGTAGGAGGCTGAGGTGGGAGGATCACTTGAGCCAAGAGGTCAAGGTTTCAGTGAGTCATGTTTGTGCCACTGCACTCCAGCCTGGGTGACACAGCAAGACCTCGTCTCGACAAAAAAAAAAAAAAACAATTCATAGCCTAAGCCAGATGTGGTGGCTCATGCCTGTAATTCCAGCACTTCTGTAAACTGAGGCAGAGGATCCCTTGAGCACAGGAGTTCGAGACTAGCCTGGGCAACACAGCAAGACCCTGTCTCCACAAAAATTTTAAAGAATTAGCTGGGCGTGTGGTCGTGCATGCCTGTAGTCCCAGCTACTAAGGGAGGCTGAGGTAGGAGGATCACTTGAGCCCAGGAGGTCAAGACTATACTGAGCCATGATTGCACCACTGCACTCCAGCCTGGGTGACAGAGTAATATTTCATTTCAAAAAAACACCAAAACAAAACTCAATGCCTAGTTACATATGTGGGAATGTGTAAAAGCTCTGATGAAACAAGTTTCACAATACATTTGGAGCATCCCCAGATTCTTCGCTTCCTCTTGTGTGTATGCAACTTCTCTCAAATATCTCTTATTTTTGCTGACTTCCCATAATAGAATTCCTGATTTTCTCTGAGGGTGGAAGATAAAAAATATCCCTTGCAAATCTTACCAATTGTATCCCGATGGATGTCTGACCTGTCAAAAAGTCCTGCTGAAGTGTAGACCACTGGGTTTCAAGTTGCATTTCCCATCCTGAAATAAAACAGACAAACAAAGAAAAGGACTCAGGCTAGGCGCTGTGGCTCATGCCTGTAATCCCAGCACTTTGGGAGGCTAAGGCAGGTGGATCACATGAGGTCAAGAGTTTGAGACCAGCCTGGCCAACATGGCGAAACCCTATCTCTACTAAAAATACAGAGGTTAGCTGGGCGTGGTGGTGAGCATCTGTAATCCCAGCTACTCGTGGGGCTGAGGCTGAAGAATCTCTTGAATCTGGGAGGCAGCAGTTGCGAGGAGCTGAGATCACACCACTGCATTCCAGCCTTGGCAACAGAGTGAACCACAACAAGAACAAATGAAAGGATTTGGAGAAAGAAATGGAAAGAGTTGAAAACAATATGACTCATTTCTATTTGTTTCAAATTAAACATGGCAAGAAAAAGCAGAAAGACATTTGGGGATCTGGGCTACATTAAAAATTTGGTTTTGATATAAATGATCCAAAGGGGGTAAAACTGGCCAAGACAAGGACATGGGGTAAAACTTTTCAATCATTTATTACAAATTGATGCTACGAAAATTAAAACTGATAGTGAATAGAGAGTATCAGGAAATGAAAGTAGGCAATTTCTGAAAAAAGAGCGTATATCTAAACAATTAAAGAAATGTTCTAAGACCCCAGGTGGATGCCTGAATCATGGCTAGTTCTGAACCTTGTACATACCGTGATTCTTCGATCTGGTAACTGAGATGACCATTACGTGACTGACAGGTAGTGTACACAGCATAGATATATTGGACAAATGGATGATTCGCATCCCAGGCAGGATGACATAAGATTTCATCATGCTACTGAGAACGATGAGAAATTTAAAACTTATGAATTGTTTTTCTGGAATTTTTTTTTTTTTTTTTGTGGGGTGGGGGTCAGTGGCCAGGGTCTCACTCTGTCATCCAGGTTGGAGTACAGTGGTACAATCACATCTCACCACAGCCTTGACCTCCCAGTCTCAATCAATCCTCACAGCTCAGTCTCCTGAGTTGCTGGGACAGCAGGTGCATCCCACCACCCTCAGCTAATTTTTGTATTTTTTGTGGAAACAAGGGTCTCAGTATGTTGCCCAGGCTGGTCTTGAACTCCTATGCTCAATGATTTCAACCACTTAGGCCTCCCAATGTGTGGGGATTATAGGCGTGGGCCACCACGCCTAGCCAAGTTTTCCATTTAATATTTTTGGACCATGGTTGAATGCAAATAACTGAAACCATGAAAAGTGAAATCAAAGACAAGGGGGGACTGTTCTGTAAGTAAAAGCGTGTGGGAAGTTAAATATTTCCTAACTTTATCTAAACCTGCATGGAGAAAGTACATGTTAAAAAGTTTCCTAATTATGCTTCCAAACGGACTGAACTTCTCATCAACCAGAGTTGTTCTTCATGAACACTCACCTTGGAGAACTCCTCCCCGAACTGTCTTTGACTCTTCTTGTTCCAACCAAGAGATCAGACTGGGTTTGATGATCTGACCTCCTGAGCACAGAGAAATACATTAATGGAAGAGGCTCATACAAGAGATTACAAACCTTTCTATGATTCAGGAACTACAGACCTAATGACAGTGGTGAAGCTATTTCAAAAGGGCTAAAAATGCAAATAACAACTCTGACTGTGCCCCAAACAGTCTGGTTACTTCTGTCACCTAAAGCCGAAATCCAGGCTTATGTACACATTTAAAAAGCACTAAGACTTTTCATCAAACACAAAATAATGGCCAAGTATGGTGGCTCATGCCCGTAATCCCAGCACTTTGGGAGGCTGAGGCAGGAGGATCACTTGAGTCAGGAGTTCAAGACCAGCCTGGCCAACATGATGAAACCCCATCTCTTCTAAAAATACAAAAAAAAAAAAAAAAATTAGGCAGGTGTGGTGGCGCGTGCCGGTAATCCCAGCTGTTTCCAGCTGTTTGGGAGGCTGAGGCACAAGAATTGCTTAAACCCAGGAGGCAGAGGTTGCAGTGAGCCGAGATCATGCCAATGTACTCCAGCCTGCGTGACAGAGTGAAACTGTCTCAAAACAACAAGAACAACAACAACAACAAATACAAAATAAGGAAGTATAACAGAAATCTTCGTTCTTCTGGGGAAACAACTACCCCAGTGTTTTTGAAAACATTATTGTGCATCAGAGTCATCCAGAGAACTTTTCTTTTTTTTTTTGAGATGGAGTCTCGCTCTGTTGCCCAGGCTGGAGTGCAGTGGCCGGATCTCGGCTCACTGTAAGCTCCGCCTCCCGGGTTCACGCCATTCTCCTGCCTCAGCCTCCCGAGTAGCTGGGACTACAGGCGCCTGCCACCTCGCCCAGCTAGTTTTTTTGTATTTTTAAGTAGAGACGGGGTTTCACTGTGTTAGCCAGGATGGTCTCGATCTCCTGACCTTGTGATCCGCCCGCCTCGGCCTCCCAAAGTGCTGGGATTACAGGCTTGAGCCACCGCGCCCGGCGGAAAAAGGACATTTCTAACAGGCAGATGGTGTTGCTGTTAATCTTGGACCACATTTTGAGAATGGTCACAGTAGATTAAAATCTATTTAGGACAGGGACTATGTCTCCATTATTTCTCTTTGTATTCAGAGTTGACATTGCCAATGCTGCAAAACAGTAAGTACATATCAGTTCCATAGGAGGCTGCAAGGGATGAGGCCAGTCTTACCCACTGTGGCCAGGTTCTTGTAGTTCTCCAGCATCACGTCACTGTAGAGGCTTCTCTGAGTTGGGTCCAGTAAAGTCCACTCCTCCTGGGTGAAGTCCACAGCCACATCGTCGAAGGTCACTGAATCCTAAAGCATCACACACAACGCTGGTTGGAGCCAAGTAACAAGCCCATCAGCATTTACTGGAGAATGAGGAAGGGGGACCCAATGCCTATGCAGGATTCCAAGGGCTGCAATGGCCAGCCCCAAGGTTTACGGTCCTAGAAACTCCTCACTCCCTAAACATACTCACTGTCATCTCCTCCACTCATAGCTTATTAATGGCACTCCTTGAATATGAATTTATCTCAGCACAGCCAGACTAGGAAGATCTCATCTTTTTTTTTTTTTTCTGAAATGGAGTCTCACTCTGTCACCCAGGCTGGAGTACAGTGGTGCGATCTCAGCTCACTGCAACCTCTGCCTCCTGGGTTCAAGTAATTCTCCTGCCTCAGTCTCCCAAGTAGCTGAAATTACAGGCACATGCCACCATTTCCGGCTAATTTTTTGTATTTTTAGTAGACATGGGGGTTCCACCATACTGGCTAGGCTGGTCTCGAACTCCTGACCTCATGATCTGCCCCCTTCGGCCTCCCAAAGTACTGGGATTACAGGCATGAGCCACCGTGCCTGGCCGAGATCTCATCTTATTTCCATCTATTTGAGCACATTGCTCAGCACGTTCCAGACATCTGATCAATGCTGATAAACAACTTGAGGAAAGGACACTTTATTTTTTTTTATTTTTTTGAGACAAGAGTCTCGCTCTGTTGTCCAGGCTAGAGTGCAGTGCTGCAATCACAGCTCACTGCAGCCTCAACTTCCAGGGCTCAAGTGATCCTCCCACTTCAGCCACCCAAGTAGCTGGGAGTCCAGTCATGCACCACTTTGCCCAGCTAATTTTTAAATTTTTTGTAGAGACAGGGTCTCACTATGTTGCTCAGGCTGGTCTTGAACTCCTGTACTCAAGCAATCTGCCCACCTCAGACTCCTAAAGTACTGGGATTACGGGTGTAAGCCACCATGCCCGACTTGGGATGATTTCCAAGTTAACACCTTCCTATATGGGAGGCCCCATTCTTTGGGTAAATTCAAACGGGGATTCAGTCCTTGAATGACTCTTTATTTGCTTTAAGAAGCGTGGAGACGCCGGGCGTGGTGGCTCACTCCTGTAATCCCAGCACTTTGGGAGGCTGAGGCAGGCGGATCACGAGGTCAAGAGATCGAGACCATGGTGAAATCTCTACTAAAAACACAAAAAAATTAGCCGGGTGCTGTGGTGGGCGCCTGTAGTCCCAGCTACTCGGGAGGCTGAGGCAGGAGAATGGCGTGAACCCGGGAGGCGGAGCTTGCAGTGAGCCGAGATCATGCCACTGCACTCCAGCCTGGGCAAAAGAGCAAGACTCCGTCTCAAAAAAAAAAAAAAAAAACAAAGAAGCCTGGAGACAAGTCTGCCTAGAGGGAAATGTGTCTACCTGGTGGATGCAAGTATGTCACTACGTATAAGGATACAGCTGCTTTTTACCTGATAACCTGTTAGGCAGTCAGACACTATCCTTCCTGCTGGCGTCTTTTCTTCATGAAGGCAAACTGGGTCCCCAGAAAGATAATGTCCTGTAAGAAAACGAAAGGCATGAGAACCCCGGGCTGACCATAATCCCCACATCCACCTACCTAGAGGTCATTACCTCCTAGTATGAAATTCCCATATATTCCTGCAAAATCAGGAAAACACACATGAGGCCAGTTGCAGTGGCTCACATCTGTAATGCTAGTGCTCTGGAAGGTTGAGGTGGGAGGACTGCTTGAGGTAAGGAGTTTGAGATCAGCCTGGGCAACACAGTGAGACTCTGTATCTACAAAAAAATTTTACAACGAGCCCGGCGTGGTAATGCACCACTCTGGGGAGGCTGAGGCAGGAAGATTTCTAAGCCTAGGAGTTCAAGACCACCCTGGGCAACATAGTGAACATAGACTCCCTCATCTCTACAGAAATAATTTTTTAATCAGTCAGGCATGGTGGCATGTGCCTGCAGTCCCAGGTACTTGGGAGGCGGAGGTGGGAGAATTGCTTGAGCCCAGGAGTTTGAGGCTGTTGTGCACTATGAACACACTACTGCACTCCAGCCTGGGCAAAAGAGTGAGACTTTGTATCAGAAAAAAAAAAAAGAAAGAAAACACAAACATACAACCTACTGCCATACAATGCCAAAGCAGTCCTAAAGGTGACGATGAGCTGTGCTGCCCGTCAGGAAAAGTACAATGGTGTCATTTCACCCATAAGAAAACATACACCCAGAGCATGTGACTCTAGCATGCTGATTAAAATTCATGAAGGAGATTACACAGTACTCTTTCCAAAACTCATAGCCAGGCAAGGGCTGACTCACAAAACAGCACGTTCCGGCCCCGCTCAGTACCTCCCAAACGAATCAGTAACATGACCAGCAGCCCAAACCACTAGGCCCTATATTGTGCAGAGAGAACCTAGGGCAGGATATCCGAAAAAGAGCAACAGAGCTTACCATGGGGCAAATCAACACCTGCCATCCTGTGAGGTAAGAATGTGCCAGAACCCTCCTTTCATTGATGTCAACATCACTTCAGGACACCTCATTAATCTAAATGGACAGTGGCAATCTCCATTCCTCTTTAAACAGGGTTACTGGGATTCCTGTTGGTATGAATCAATAATCAACAAGCAGTACTTCATCATCAGTCATCAAAACATATACACTGGCTGGGGCAGTAGCTCATGCCTGTAATCCCAGCATTTTGGGAGGCTAGGGTGGGAAGATTGCTTCAGTCCAGAAGTTTGAGACCAGCCTTGACAACATAGTAAGACCCTATCTCTAAAGAAATAAAAGGGCCGGGCGCGGTGGCTCAAGCCTGTAATCCCAGCGCTTTGGGAGGCCGAGACGGGCGGATCACGAGGTCAGGAGATCAAGACCATCCTGGCTAACCCGGTGAAACCCCGTCTCTAGTAAAAAATACAAAAAAATAGCCGGGCGAGGTGGCGAGCGTCTGTAGTCCCAGCTACTCGGGAGGCTGAGGCAGGAGGATGGACCAAACGCGGTGGAAGTTGCAGTAAGCCGAGATCGCACCACTGCACTGCAGCCTAGGTGGGTGACAGAGCAAGACTCCGTCTCAAAAAAAAAAAAAAAAAAAAGAATGACAATCATTAAACATGAAACAGTGGCTCAAACAATGACCTACACAATAGCCTTAAACCAAGTACGAGTTTTGCACACACACATTAAAAAAAAAAAACAAAAAAACCCTCACAGTACACTTTAAGTATTGGGTAGCCTCAACAGGGCCTTGATTGGAAACACTCAAATCAAACAAACCTGCACTCCCAGTTAACACTGTCAGAGAGGCAAGGCCAAACTGCTCTGTGCCTAACACTGGTCTGTTATACGGGTCTTCAAAGAGAAGACCTTTTCACAGTATTTATCTGCTTAATTTTTTTCCACCAAAGTTTGGTTTTACTTGGCCAGGCAGGGTGGCTCACACCTGTAACCCCAGCACTTTGGGAGGCCGAGGCCAGCAGATCATGAAGTCAGGAGTTCAAGACCAGCCTGACCAACACAGTAGAAACCCCCTCTCTACTAAAAATACAAAAATTAGCCAGGCATGGTGGCGTGCACCTGTAATCCCAGCTACTCAGGAGGCTGAGGCAGGAGAATCGCTCAAACCAGGGAAGTGGAAGTTGCAGTGAGCTGAGATCGCACCACTGCACTGCAGCCTGGGTGACAGAGCAAGACTCCGTCTCAAAAAAAAAAAAAAAAAAAAAATTAATGACAATCATTAAACATGAAACAGTGGCTCAAACAATGACCTACAGAATGGGAGTCAAATAATCAGGACAGTGAACGTTCCACAGTTAATTATCCATGAACCAAATTCACAAAAACTCTACAGGCCTCATTCTACCAATAAGACTAAAACCCTAAAGTCACAAAAACCACAGTTCTGGACTCCCGGTATGGATCACACCTACTCCCAAGGGTCTCAAACTGGGGGTCCTAGGGCTCACTAAGCCCACAAATATTCAGTTTGGTGGCATCTGTATAGAATATTTTTTTTTTTTTTTTTTTTTTTTTTGGAGAGATGGAGTCTTGCTGTGTTGCCCAGGCTGATCTTAAACTCCTGGGCTCAAGAGATCTTCCTGCCTCAGCCTCTCAAAGTGCTGGGATCACAGGTGTGAGCCACCATACCCCGTCAACTTTTATTTTTTTTCATTGATATATAATCAATGTAGCTTAAAATACACACATCCTTTGTTTGTTTGTTTGTTTGTTTGAAACAGAGTCTCACTCTGTCACCCAGGCTGGAATGCAGTGGCGTGATCTCAGCTCACTGCAACCTCTGCCTCCTGGGTTCAAGTGATTCTCCTGCCTTAAGCCTCCCAAGTAGCTGGGATTACAAGATCCCACCACCACACCCAGCTAATTTTTTTTTTTTTTTTTTGGATTTTTAAGTAGAGACGGGATTTCACCATCTTGGCCAGCCTGGTTTCGAACTCCTTAATCCAACCACCCAGTTAACTGTAAATTTGATGACTGTGATACTAAAATAATAAAGCCTTCATCCTTTCGTTCTGGAGGTCTGATTGTGAAGCCCTCTTGGGATGTACGGGCCTAGGAACTCCATTCGAAGAGAATAAGTTATTATTTTTAGTATTCTTTAGCACAAAGACTTGGCGGTCTACAAACGTTAGTATTCACATACACAAATACGCACACCCTATAAACCTAGTATCTTTATCTTTCGCCATGAAAGTAATAGTCAAAAATAAAATACAACGCACAAAGACGAAACCAAACTTACAGATGTAATATTCGTTTGCATAAGACAAGACAGAAAAGGCCCCCTAGAACCAACTTTCACCCAGTGCTTACCCAACTCAGAAATCGCCAGGTCCCTGAACCGGAAGGACCCTGGGGACGGAGCCAACGTGGATGCAAAAGGCGGAAATTATTTTCCTGCTGGAAAAAAAATTCACAAACGCTGCTTTGGAGGCCTTTGGAGAGGGAGGCACAGATGAAAACACCCTGCGGACACCGCAACTAGACGCCCGACTCCTCCCGGGGAGCGACGGTCCGAGCGGACGCCAGCGGCCCCTACGGATGCGAGAGGAGTGGGCCAGGCCTCTCTAAGATCCGGGCCAAACCCGTCCTTCACCCCCAAACCACTTCATCTCCGCGGAACTCACCAACGATAGAGAGGCCCTAACTCTGAAAGGCAAAAACACTCTCAGGCGCTCACAGCTGCCGTCACAGAACGAAGGGCGCCCCGCTGACGTCATTTCAGCTCTCCGCCACGGGCCGGGCGGGGTTTTGGTACTAGCGTTTCTGCCATGTAAGACCTCCTCGAGGCAGAAAAATTCTAGTTTTCTCCTGCTTGGCTGCGGAGGACGTTAGGGTGGGCTCAGCGCGGGGGCTGCAGGCAGAAGTAGGCCCAGAGGACAAGGTCGAGGTTAGAGCCAGGCCTGTGGGCCAGTCTACGGGCAAGTGGTGGGGCCCACTCTCGGGGGCGGCGAGGAAGGTGGGGCCAGGCCCAGAGGAAAAGGTTGAAGTTACAGCCAGGCCTGCAGGCGAGGCCGCAGCGGGGCGGGCCGTAGGGGAAGGAGCCAATGCATTAACAATGCATCTAGAAAATACGTAACTACGTATTTTGCTGTGTTACTATTTCAACATTTGATGTAAAAAACATTTTCTATGCAGCCAAAAGAATTGTTTTAAAAAATAATTTCTGGGTTTTTTGCCTTGCTTTAAAACGTCTTTGCCTTTTTTTTTTTTTTGAGACAAAGTCTCACTTTGTCACCAAGGCCGGAGTTCAGTGGAGCCATCTCAGCTCACTGCAACCTCTGCCTCTCAGGTCAAGCGATTCTCCTGCCTCAGCCTCCCAAGTAGCTGGGATTACAGGCACGTCCAACCACACCCTGCTAATTTTTGTATTTTTAGTAGAGACAGAGTTTTGCCATGCTGGCCAGGTTGGTCTTGAGCTCCTTGTCAGGCTTCTGGGCACAAGCTAAGCCATTATAACCCCTGTGACCTGCACGTATACATCCAGATGGCCAGGAGCAACTGAAGAACCATAAAAGAAGTGAAACAGTCAGTTCCTGCCTTAACTGATGATGTTCCACCATTGTGATTTGTTCCTGCCCCACCCCAACTGATCTCTTGACCTTGTGACATTCTTCTCCTGGGCAGTGAGTCTCAGGAGTTCCCCACCCAGCACCGTGTGACCCCCGCCCCTGCCTGTAAAAAATAACCACCTTTGACTGTAACTTTCCATTACCTACCTAAATCCTGTAAAACTGCCCCACCCCTATCTCCCTTTGCTGACTCCTTTCTCAGACTCAGCCCACTTACACCCAAGTGAATGAACAGCCTTGTTGCTCACACAAAGCCTGTGGCGATCTCTACACACGGATGCGTGTAACATTTGGTTCCAAAACCCAGGAAGGGAGACTCCCTCAGGAGACCAGCCCCCCGTCCTCACCCTCACTCCATGAGGAGCTCCACCTACAACCTCGGATCCTCGGAACCTCAGACCAGCTATTTGGGAGGCTGAGGCAGGAGAATCGCTTGAACCCAGGAGGCAGAGGTGGTAGTGAGCTGAGATTGTGCCATTGCACTCCAGGATGGGCAACAAGAGCGAAATTCTGTCTCAAGAAAAAAAAAAAAAGAACAGCTAAGAGGAGACCCATAGTGAGTAGCTCCCCTCTGTGGGCAGGCAGGTTGTTTGTCGAGTGTTCAGTTCTCAGCAGAGAGGAGGCGCTGGAGAGGGTAGCTCTTCTCCTCAGGAAAGTTGTTTGGTGGTCTCTGCGGGTCTCTGAGGGTCTCAGCAGAGACACTAGCCTCCTTTCTTCTGCTAGTGGCACTGTCTCCTCAGCTCTAGCTGAGCCAGGGGTACTTTGTGAGCCTCAGACGGCAGGAAGTGCATGCCAGTTTGCCCATGGGTGGCCATGGGCAGGCCTGGAAAAGGCACCAGTTACCACTCCAGTTCGTGGGACTGGCGGCCCGGCCACCAGCCTTCAGGCCTTCCCTGGCCAGAAGGAGAAACCTTACCAGGGACCTACCCCTTTGCCCCAGGACTCTCTCATGTCTGTCCCGCTGTTCATGGCGAACTGGCTTGGCCTGACTTTGCTCCAAGATAGGAGGAGGCGTGGACAGCAGGGAGAAGCCAGGCAGCTGGGGCAGGCATTAAACATTAGCCAGGCACAGTGATGCACATCTGTAGTTCCAGCTACTCAGGAGGCTGAGGTAGGAGGACTGCCTGAGCCCAGCAGGCTGAAGCTGCAGGTGAGCAGTGATCACACTGAGGTAGGAGGCAGAATTTGACTCCAGAGGTGGGGCTCAGACCTGGACAAAATTGAGGACTAGCTAAAACAGGGATGGGGCAGAAGCAGCTTTCCATAAGAAACACCCACCAGTGAGCCATGTCAGTTTACCATGGTCACGGCAACACCCGGCGTTACCACCCGTTTCCATGGCAACGACCCGATGACCAAAGTTACCACTCTTTTCCTAGAAATTTCTGCATAAACTGACCCTTAATCTACATGTAATTAAAAGTAGGTATAAATATGACTGCAAAACTGCCCTGAGCTGCTACTCTGAGCTGCTACTCTCAGCACACTGCCTATGAGGTTCCCCATAAGAGCAGTCACAAAGCTGTAACACCACCAGAGCTGTAACATTGCTTCTTTGATAAAGCCTCTTTTCTTCTATCATCAGCTCACCCTGAATTATTTCCTGGCCAAAGCCAAAAACCCTCGTGGCCTAAGTCCCAATTTGAAGCTTGCCTGTCCTACAGCAGCATGACTACACTCCAGCCTGGGTGACGGAGCGAGACCCTGGCTCAAAAAGGTATACTTTATCAAACAGATGTATATTAGAGGTAAGTTAAGATAGAACAGCTTCTTAATTCCAAAAAAAACAAAACATTTGAGCAAAGAAAAATCTTTTGAATAAAAGTCATAAAAACAGACCAGACATGGTGGCTCATGCCTGTAATCCCAGCACTTTGGGAGGCCAAGGCAGATGGATCACCTGAGGTCAGGAGTTCAAGACCAGCCTGACCAACATGATGAAACCCCATCTCTACAAAAAATACAAAAATTAGGCTGGGCGCGGTGGCTCACGCCTGTAATCCCAGAACTTTGGGAGGCCGAGGCGGGCGGATCACAAGGTCAGGAGATCGAGACCATGGTGAAACCCCGTCTCTACTAAAAATAGAAAAAATTAGCCGGGCGCAGTGGCGGGCGCCTGTAGTCCCAGCTACTCGGGAGGCTGAGGCAGGAGAATGGCGTGAACCCGGGAGGCGGAGCTTGCAGTGAGCCGAGATTGCGCCACTGCACTCCAGCCTGGGTGACAGAGCGAGACTCCGTCTCAAAAAAAAAAAAACAAAAAAAAAAAAACAAAAATTAGTAGATGGGGGAGAGCATCTCACTCAGTTGCCCAGGTTGGAGTGCAGCAGCACAAAAGCTCACTGCAGCCTTGATCTCCCAGGCCTAAGTGATCTTCCCACCTCAGCCTCCTGAGTAGTTGAGACTACAGGCACACGTTACCACACCCAGCTAATTTTGTGTGTGTGTGTGTGTGTGTGTGTGTTTTGTAGAGATGGGCTTTCATCATGTTGCCCAGGCTGGTATCGAACTCCTGAACTCAAGCGATCCTCCCACCTTGGCCTCTCAAACTGCTGGGATTCAGGCATGAAACACCATGCCCAACCAGATTTTTTTTGTTGTTTTTTGTGTTTTTTTTTAAGTGATAAAAACTTAATAAAGGCAACACAGGAGATTATCTCGATAATTTCTTGTAAAACCTTTCTTAGACCAGCTACCAAAAAGGCAAAGAAAAACCTTCTACAGTGTGATTATTTCTCCTTATGTGAAGCTCATTTAGATAACCTGGAAGTTGGCCAGGGACGGTGGCTCACGCCTGTAATCCCAGCACTTGGGTGGCTGAGGTGGGTGGATCACTTGAGGTCAGGAGTTTGAGACAAGCCTGGCCAACATCGTGAAACCCCTTCTCTACTAAAAATACAAAAATTAGCCGCAGTTGGTGGCATGCACCTGTAAACCCAGCTACTCAGGAGGCTGAGGCAGGAGAATCACTTGAACCCAGGAGGTAGAGGTTGCAGTGAGCTGAGACCACTGTGCCACTGAACTCCAGCCTGGGTAAGAGAGTGAGAATCCATCTCAAAAAATAAAATAAAAATAAAAATAACCTGGAAGTTGAACCTGATGAAAAGCGTGCTTGAATTTAGTTAGCAATATGTCCGTTATACGTGTAACAATTTAGATACATCAAGAAAAGCCAAGAATACAGAATCAAGTTACACAGAAGAAATACATTGCTTTTCTAGGCCTTCATGATAAATATTTCAGTGTCAGGCCATAATAACCAATTTAGAACCAAAGAAAAACTTACAGGAGCAGACAAAAAAGTTGCCATCCCAGGCCTTCTCAATGTGAAAAAAAAAAGAAGGCAAAGATGTATGACCTGCAAATGTCATACACTGAGATGCAAGAAAAGTTGATCCTCTGAGATATGAATGAGAAATCTGAAAACCAAAACTCTACCTCAACAAATTGGCTGGTTCTGTTTATGGTGGCTCATTCCTGTAATCTCAGCACTTCGGAAGGCTGAGGCAGGAGAATAACTTAAGGCCAGGAGTCTGAGACCAGCCTGGGCAACATAGCAAGATGCCATCTGTATTAGTCTGTTCTCGCATGGTTATAAAGAAATAACTAACAGTGGGTAATTTATAAAGAAAAAAGGTTTAATCGGCTCACAGTTCTGCAGGCTGGACAGGAAGCAGGTTGCTGGCATGAGCTCGGCTTCTGAGGAGGCCTCAGGAAACTTACAATCATAGCAGAAGTCTGAGGAGCAGGCATGTCACATGGCCAAAGCAGGAGCAGGAGAGGGGGGGAGGTGCTACACACCTTTAAATGACCAAATTGAGTGACAAGAACTCACTATCTATCACGAGGACAGTACCGAGGCAGGTAGTGCTAAATGACCCATGAGAAATCCGCGCCCCATGATCAAGTCACCTCCCACCAGCCCCTACCTCTAACATTGGGAATTACAGTTGAACATGAGATTTGGGTAGGGACACATATCCAAACCATATCATCATCTCTACAAATTTTTTTAACTGTATGAAATTCCACCTCAATAAATAAAATTACTGTTTTAAATGATGAGGATAGTATTTACAACCTGAAAACTACAGAAATTAAATCAATCTCAGGAAAAAATGTGGCAGAAATAGAAACTAGAGCTTAGAAGATGGCTACTAACAGATTTTAGAACAAACAAAACGTCTTGCAAATTTATTTTTTTTAAGCACAGATAAATATGTCAAAAAAAAACCCTTTGTTTACAATATAGAGGACCAGACTCTGGTCCTGTATCAGTGCACCCAACACCACTGTTTAATTTTTAGGAAAAAAAAAAAACCTATGTACAATTTCTTTTCAATCCTAGCCAACACAATCATACATTAAACTGTCCGTAAGGCCTATCTTTCATAAATCCTATTCAAATTGTTTAGACATTTAACCATTTTCTTAAACTTTCAGTCTTAGTCTTACAGTTTTCTCTTTTTATATTGGTACAACCAATCATTTTACGTTAGGACAAAAATTTACCACATAAGATTCTTGCACAAAAATTGCTTTTTCCTAAATT